ACACAGCTAAAAAGTAACGATCCACTCAACTATAACACAAACCAAAAGGGTACACCGAGAAGGCCCCTGAAGAAGACCTCTGAAAACTGAGAGAGAAGAGGTGTCAGAATTCACATAAATTAAACTATGTAGAACTTTGGAACCAGGCCCCTTCTTGAAATATTGTAATATGGTAGCTAGGAGCCTGTTCCTTCAAGATACCCAAAAGGATACTCGAAAATCATATCCGTTGGGGGCACAGTGGGGGGAGGAGAGAGTGGCTTTTTCCATTTTAGAGGGAGATGCCTAAATGGAGATTATCCTGAAGAGGCCATTCTCTTGTAAATGAACTTTCCTCAGATGCAGATCCATCATGCTAAGTGGTGGCGGTGGTTGGTCTGGTAGTAATTTTTTAATACACACACACAGTTTGTATGACACAAACACAACTCCATTAAACACAGCTTAAGAAAAGAATGAAGCTGATTCTTATGAACAAGAAGTAGCGGGAGCGGGGGGGGATATGGGGGGGGCAAACTGTCAAAGCATCAAGACAACATTCATATGTTATCTACTGTACAAAATCAGAAAATGATATAGATAAAAATTAAAAGCCTTACCAGCGCAATCTATAGAAATATACTCAAAAGTAAGTCCTATTGAGTCCAATGGGGCTTACTTCCAGGTCAGCATGTCTACGATTGCGGCACAAAAATAATTCAATGTCATGGGGACATAAACTGCTGAACTGCCTATATTCTACCTCCATAAGACATAGCAAACACAATTCACATAAAACTTTAAAACTATTCAGTGACTGACTGAATTCTGGCTAAATAGAGTATGAGTTTTGAAGAGAAAAACGAAAAGTGGAGTAGACTGAAAATTTATTTCTTCCCACAAAAAGGGAGGGAGGAGAGTGTATTTTTAAATTTTTGATTCACTGCGGAAGCAAGAAGAGAGAATAATATCTACAACCAATAATCTTTTAAACATTTCTAGTTCACTTTTCAATAACATCAACATACTTTAACCTACAGAGCAAATAACCAAACCTGAAAAGCAATATTTAACGTATGCATTAAAATAAAGCAGCAGCAGATAATACAGCAATTAAAAGCACAATACATTAAAATTAAGTGTATGCAAACTGGAATTTTAAAAAGTCTTTTAAATCCTCATAAAGGCCAGCAAAGCAGGAGCCAGGCACGCTTTCCATGGGAGGGCATTCCAAAGATGTGGGGTTATCCCAGAAAACAATATGGTCCCTGGTACTCACTAATTTCACAATTCTCACCAGTGAATCAGAGAATAGAGTGAATCAGAGAACAGATCATCAGAAGCCCATTTCAATTAACCTTTTAAAGCTCCAAGGAATTTAGGCCAGGTCAACACCAGCAACTTAAATTTGGCCCTGCAAAGAACAGGCAATCAGTGTACCTGGTACAGAATATGAACAAGATGCCTATATCTTACAAGCATTAGAGTCACAGCCTTCTGCACCAATTTTAGTTTCTGGACCAACTTCAAATGCATGTAAAGTGCATTAGAATAATCAAACCCGGGCATATATTGGACACAGCCAGATGCGTAACCAAGGCAAGATCTGTTATCTCTAAATAAGGCTGCAGCTGATGAGTAGTCCTGGACCACTAACGTCACCTGCATCTCCAGGACAAGCATCCCTAGGTCTTTGGGTGGAGTGCAACCCCATCCGGAGTTACCGTATTTTTCGCCCTATAGGACGCACTTTTTCCCCTCCAAAAATGAAGGGGAAATGTGTGTGCGTCCTATGGGGCGAATGCAGACTTTCGCTGAAGCCTGGAGAGCGAGAGGGGTTGGTGCGCACCGACCCCTCTCGCTCTCCAGGCTTCAGAAGAGCCCCAGGGCCAGCCCCACAAGCTCGGGGGACAGCGGGGAGGCGGAACGCCGCCATCCCGCTGTCTCCCGATGTGGTTTGGAGGCTGACGGCGGGGAGACGCGTGCTTCTCCCCGCCGCCTGCCCCGCAAGCTCCGGGGACAGAGGGGAGGCGCAGCACGCCTTCCTGCTGCCCCCAGACCTGGTCTGAAGGCTGGCGGCGGGGAGAAGAGCGCTTCTCCCCGCTGCCAGCCCCACAAGCGCCTGGGGGGGGGAAATAATTTTTTTTTCTTTATTTCCCCCCCAAAAAGCTAGGTGCGTCCTATGGGCCGGTGCGTCCTATGGGGCGAAAAATACAGTAGTTCTTTGCAACATGTATACATGAGTTCCATCATTATAGATGGCCAATACTCACACTGATATATAGTCAAGACACATACTGTCTAACATATGTAAAGCTAAGTTCAAGGGGTGGTATAATCGTACCCTCACTATGACATCATATCATATCCAAGAACCAAAAAATTGAAAGTTAAGTGTCTGTAGATGAGCTCATTTAGATTAACAGTAGTTCGTGTCTGCAGATTTGGGCATATTTGCTTAAAAATTAAGTTATAATTAAACAAATTGGACTTTCTTCAAGTAAAGTGTGTCTATTATTGGGGTATCAGAATTTAAAGTACAGATGCAACCTACATGTCATAAACACTCACATTATATATACAGTGTGTGTGTGTGTGTGTGTGTGTGTGGCAATGTATAAGTTTTGCTTCATAATTTCAAGTAAAATACTGCTAAAATCCTAATTTCCTTAAAGGCTTCAAGATTGCTTGCGATCACAATGTTTAATTTCAAAAATCTATAAAATAATTACCTACATGTGTACATTTCTAAAGCTGGCTGCAGTCGTAAAAACAAGAGTAATTCACTAAACCCTCACGTGTAGGCGGAACCAGTTCAGATATATTGTGAAGGCATTTTTAAAGCACAAAATAGCAAGTGGAATTACATCAAAACAACTGACATTCAAGAGGATCAAAGGGGTGCTTTTAAGTAAAATTGCTTCAGAATATCTAATCTTAAAGCTAAACATGCTAAATATAACCCACTTTAAAAGCAATGCACATGAGATTTATACAGCCGCTATTCCCAAGCATCACTGACATCTAGTTTCTCAAATATACTAGTTACAAAATATGCAGTTTCTAGCATACTAGTGCTATTTTAACACTCTGAATTACAAAGGCAGAAAATTATTTGGGGGGGGGTGACGACAGAAGAGAGACAATAGAATACGATCCTTACAATAAAGTATCTACATATACTTAAATTCCATCTTCAGTTATTGAGGGCTATTAGAATTCTCTTCAGCACTGTCGATGTTGTTCTTATCAGATTTATCACCACTCAAAGCAAGGCTGCAGCAGCTGAATGCCAGTGTGAAACATGCAGCCTTGAAATAAAGATGGCATAGGCTTCAGACAGTTGCTCAAGTGCCAATCTGCAGGACTACGCTTCCGCAAGAATTACTTGAACAGTTAAGAATGAATATTTCAAGCCTGTTCCTACCTTTCTTTCCAGAATCCGTTCTACGTCGTGCTGGTGACACCAGCTCTTTCACAATCTGCAAGACTTGAATCATTGCTAGTTAGCAAGATCAAAGCCACCAGCTGCTCCTCTGGAATGCCAACAGGTTTCATCCCTACAGATCATTACACGTCTGCCTTCAAATAAGCTGGAGCAAGAGCGACGCAGCAGCAACTTGGTTACCTTTCCGGGGATACGCTTAGGGTGCCTGACAACTGTACAGCGAGAGGTGATGGATTTGAAGTGACTTCAGCACATGGATGCAAAAGCAACACCAGGCAGGCAACTCTCATCGCTTTTTCCATCAAGCAAGTCAGAAGTAACAATGGCCTTTCTTCAATTAGAAGTAAGGACTACAGAAGGTGAGCATGTTTGCGCCTGCTCAAAACATGAACTTGCGCACTTTTCAACAGCACAAAGATATTTAAAGGATTTCAGCAATGAGACAGGCATCAAATCTACCGGTGAAGCTGCTGAGAGTGGGGAGAGAAAGAGAATAACCCAAATCTCCACCTTGCTGAACTTCAAGAGCCTTAGCAGAAAATCAAGAATGTTTTCAAGCATCCCAATAAGAGTTCAGTACCCATTTCATGCACACCTGCCTCTGACATTCCTGAACAGAAGCAGAATTCTTACACAGCACAGTGAAAAATCCTATGAGCATTTCAGGCAATGCTTCATCCTACCACCAGGGGCACAGAACATACGTTCAGTCTGAAGCTTTCCTATTGCTTCTGTCAGGTAATCTTAATAATTGAATGCCAGCAATTAAACGTTCCAGAACATTACACAAAATGTATGTTTATCATTTATCATGTAACACCTGCTTACCAATCTAACCCACAAAACTGAAAAAAGGAAAGGAATGGTCAAAGAACCTACAAAAGGAAGCCAGCTAAGCTTGTTTTTAAAGCACTTTGGAGCCACACACTTCCAAAACCTGTATAGCTTTAAATTCTGAAACAGAACTGCTACGAAGTCTATAATATTCAAAGAAGACAGTTTCATTACAATAAAAGCACCTGACATAACTTAGCACAGAAAGACTGATCTTCTTTGGTCTTTTGGCCCTTTTTTACACACACATACACTGACCTGCTCCAGTTAGAAGGCTGGATTTGGAGTGCAGCCATATCAGGCAGCTGCTACAGTTAGCACATCACATTTATACCGGTACATGTACACAAAGGTTGACAAACATTGGATGGCCAACTGAAGTTTTGTTTTTGCCACAACCCCCAAGTCACATGCAGCCTCTGAAACACTGCACAAAATCGGTTTCCTTTACAGCTCTAAGCCTGCAGCTGAGCAGGGCAATTCTGCCCAATGCAAAAATAGCACTGCCCAACAGCTCATTAGCTGGAGAAGGGCAAAGGCCTGCTTTCACTCTGCACTGATCAGGCAACTGCAGCACCCATGAGTTAGAAGCACACCCACTTGGGTCAACCTGTCACCTTAAAACTCGAGACAGGAAGAGCAAGCTTGATATGGTTCTGCATTTCATAGAATCATGGAGCTCTAGAGTTAGAAGGAACCACGAGGGTCATCTAGTCCAACCCCCTGCAATGCAGGAATCTTTTGCCCAACGTGGGGCTTGAACTCTCAACCCTGAGGTTAAGAGCCTCATGCTCTACCAACTGAGCTATCCCAAAACAAACCGCAGGCTTCCAAAATTCCAAAGTGCAGGTGCTGCCACACTATAACTGATAAGACTTATTACAAATGCAGACCAGGTATAGGTAGTGCCTTGGAGGGCGAGGGGGGTCATCTCACATGCCAAACAATAGACATGTTGGTGCAACAAAAGTGGGGGGGGGGGGGGCAAGATGCTAACCCTTGTGTGTACATATTTCTGTCTTGGTCTGACAGAAAGAAAATAAGATTTCAACTAATCTAATCTCCTTAGAAGACAAGGTCTGCATACAAAAAGGTCCCAGACATCTCTCTTCCTTGCAGCTCCTGGTAGGGATGGAAAAAAACTACCTGAAAACCTATAGAGCCACTGCCAGTCAGAGTAGACAGTACTGAGATAGATGAACCACTGTGCTGACTCCATATACAGCAGCATCTTACGTTCTTATTAGCACAGTTGGGGCAGGGTGGGGGAGAGCAAGGAATCCTAAGCACTAACTAAAGCAATCTTGGAAAACTGTCAGGATGCTATTAAACATCCGGCTCGCGACAAGCATGGAGGAAGAATGAGCGAAAGAGCCAGCATGAAACAAAAGGAAAGCTACATTAGTATTCATAATAAACAAAGTAATGAATAATTTAGGCATGTTCAGACCCAATCTTTCCTGAATCACACAACAGGTTTATGGGAGGCCGTTTCTCTAGCTTGCTGGAAAAGGGCACGATCACAAAAGCAATATATAGAGAAGTATTTGCTTTCCATGAACTCTGTGTCACCACCAATATTAAGGGCCTATGTGTGATTAAAATAAGTTAGGTTGGGGAGGAAATGTTAACCATTTAGTTAAGCAATACCCTTTTACTCACCAACCGAAAAGGAATGGGGATGAAACACAGCACTAGCTCAAGTTATCTTTTCCTCTGTAAAAAGTTCTCTGTCACTCATCATTTTCTTCAAAATATATTATTGTTATTTTATTACTCAGCCTTCACCCTAAGGTCCAAGGGTGGGCTACAACTTTAAATCATAATGTTAAAAATAGTTTAAAACAACTTACAGTCACATGGAATGACAAGCAATGTTTTGCATAAAGCAGGCAGGGAGGTAATCACAGCATGCAATGAGAGGGGGAAAGGCGAGTTCAAGATAAAGATTCACTCGTGTGGCACCAAACCATGGTCTGGTGTTACATCTTATGTGAGCCTAAGTCTTCACCACTGAGTAACCACTTCCAGCTTCTACTTACTGCCGCTCTACTTTTTAAAGTCTTGGTAGAAGTCATCAGTGCAGTTGCAGATTTTACTCAAAAACCATGAGAGCTAAAAACGTAAACCTTCCAACCAAAAACCAAAAGAGCATGCCCCCAGAACCCTAGAGATATAAGAACCACTGCATTTTGTAGTGCCACCACAATCCACAACATCACTGCATACTCCCTTGACAAAAATCACAATTACCAAGGGCTAAAGCAAAGTAAATCTCTCTTTAGCTGGGTGTGGTGCAGCCTAGTACCCTTATCAATAAGTAACTAGCTAAAAAAACAGGAAGCAGAGAGTAAGAATAAATGAGAATTTTCCAATGGAGGAATGTAAGGAGTGGAGTCCCCAAGGATCAATATGGAACCAGTGTTTTTTACCTTGTTCATAGCTGGCCTGAGGTTGGGCTGAGTTGTGGGATATTCATGTTTGCTGATGACACCAGGGTGACAAGAACAAAAAAGAACTGAGAGGAGTTCTCAAAGGATCTTGGGGGGAATGGGAATTAAAATGGCCCATGATATTCAATTAAAGTAAGTGTAAAGTAATATTTATGGGGGGGGGGTATCCTGATTTCACATATATGTCAATGGGCTTGTGGGAACTGATCAGGGACAATACATTGGGGCCTTAGCTGATAGCTAGATGAAAACATTAAGCCAGCTGTGAAAACAATGAATTTCGTATTAGGAATCATTTTGACAGATTGAAAACAAAACTGCCAATATCCAAAATGACAGTCTACAAATCTATGACACAACCACACTTGGAATACAGAATTGATACTGGAGAAGATTCTGAAAGGGACAACCAAAATAAGAGGCGGGAGTCAACCCCTTAAAGGAAAGGTTAAAATAGTTTGGACTTTATAAGTTGGGGTGGGGGGAAATGTATAGGGGTCAAAAAAGAGGTATAAAAGTACACATGGTGTGGAGAAAGCTGAAGTTTTTCTACTTCAAAATACTAAAAGCCAAGGCCATCCAGGAAAGCTAAATACTGGAAGATCCAGGACACACATCAACAAGTACTTCACAAAGCACATACTTAAGGAACTATGGAAATTCACTAGCACAAGTTGTAGTGATGACCACCAACTTGGATACATATAAAAGGGGTTTAGATATATTCATGAAGGATAAGGCTGACAGTCCAGTACTGACACTGAGGGGAGCACAAGTTGGGGAAGTGCTGTTTGCTCATGCCCTGCTTGCAGGCTTTCCACAGGCAATGGGTTGTCCACTGTGAAACAGCATGAAGGACCAGATGGGTCCTTCGTCTGATGCTTCTGTTCTTATTTTATGCTCTGCACACAGGTATGCAGATTTTTAATGCTGTACAAGACAGAGCCACTTCTCTTGATGGCAACAGTCATGCTGTTCACACCATTCTTATGCCAGGTTCACACCAGTATAGATCAGTTAGATGGCTGCACTGAATATGGTCTGATCAAGTTGACAATGAACATGCTTCTTTCACCTAAATAAAAGTGGAAAAATCCTGAAATTAAAAGCAAATTAAAATAACTGTCTGAAATGACACAGGATGCCAAAAAACTACCAGCATAGCTTACAATTTTAAGCGCTCCTATGTTTGATATCCCGAAGCATATGAAAGGGTGACCTCAGTTCTGATTACTCAGCTGTCACCAAGATCAAAAATGTCTCCATTAACGTAATTAGAATTAGCTGTTCTTTGAAAAACAGCTTTTGTGGATTTTTGCCAGAAGGCAACACATTTACAGCACAAAGGACAGCCAAAAATCTGTTAGTCAAACCCACCACTCAATGTTTATTTCAAATGCTTATAAGCAGGGGTTGCCAGCTCCAGAGGGTTGGGGGACCCTTTGAGCAGATCTGGGGGAACAAAGAAAAGGGAAGGACAATAGCTTTTCATTATGCAACACTGAACTTCACCACCTGTTTTCAATTTGGGATAAACCCAGCTTAAATGAGAATGGGCCAAACATCCCATCTCTAGCAAAACGGGTGCAATATATTAAGAAGAGCCAACCTTCTAGTTCACACCAAGAAAGGTATTCAGTTCATTAAATTGTCTCTTTACACAACTGTTTTCCTTCACAGGTATCACTTTGCATATAGGAAATTATACAAAGACACATGAGGTACTATCACTAGACTCCTGTAATGAAATCGAGCACATAAGAAGCCCCAACAATGATAACTGGTTAAACATCATGAACAAGAAAAACATTGCTATAAGTTATCCACTTGAGAGGTGTAAGAATCTTGCTTTCAATTTAACTGTAGACCTGTCATTAGCTACCATTTAGAGCAAACTGATGGGTAAGTACTGCTACAGCACCAAGCCATGAAAATATCAAAAAATCTCTACAAACAGCAGCTGCCTTTACTCCACAATGAACGATGATGCTATTCCTCTAAAATCAAAAAACCTCTTGTGACTTAAGACCAATTCACACAACCAAATGGGTGCATGGGGAATAAGGGTGAAAGATTGCCTGCACAGGCTCTAGAGCAAGAAAGGATATCAGAAATAGGTTTAGGTGTGCAAACTTACACACACCAACATCATGCTATGTATTTTAATTTATTAGCATTGCAAATGCCACGAGCAAACAGACGGATATTGGCCTCAGTTTAAAGTTTAGATATTTACAAGTTAGAAATAGTATGGTTGGAAAAGATAAAAATGTATTGCACTCATTCTGTTCAAAACCACATGGGAGAATGCTACTGGGAAGCAGGAAGTTAGATGCTGAACCATCTGTTGCCTTCATCACTGATTCTACTACATACCGGTACTTACATCAATACAGATTATGATTCTTCCGATATTACACAGCTATATTTGGCAAGTTATTCTCCCTTCCCCTGCTAGAATCCAAAGTAGTTATCAGTGAACAGGCACTTAGCACTTTCTAAACATCAGACTCCCACACAGGGGCCTACAAATTCTCGCACCACGCTCACCATGGCAAGCATCCTTTTCCTCTCTGGCAAGCACCTCCAAAAGCTCACTGAGAGATGAATGAGCTGCTTCCTTCTCATGCCCTATTTCTAAAAAGGGCAGCCATGATGGAGAGAACCACTCACCAATCTCCTCCTCCCACATTTGGAGTTCAACACTGACCTCACACTCGGCTTCAAATGCAAGCCAAGTGCTCAACCAACTATGCAGAGAATAAATACTGGCATTTTCTGCTTTGCTGCCATGTTCAGCTGATATTCCTTTGCAGACTGTTAGTGGGTGGTTCCCTAGACCAAATGGATGGGAGGCTGCCTGCTCTTGATGGGGTTACACTCCCTCTGAAGGAGGAGGTATGCAGCTTGGGTGTACTTCTGCATCCATGGCTGTCACTTGAGGCTCAGGTGGCCTCAGTGATGTGGAGTGTCTTCCAACAGCTTTGGGCGATGGCCCAGCTCAGCCCCTATCTGGACAAAATAAAATAACAACAACAACTGCCAGAAAAACCACTCAAGGGGTTATCCAGAAAGATGCAATCTTTAGGATTTCCTCAGGTGAAAATCATGGAAACAGCAGTCACTCTCTCAAGATATGCCACAACAACTGCTTCTTGGACAAGTACCACCAAAGCTAAACCCCCTTTGACAACGTGACAGCTCTTGCAACCTATCAATGGATTGCTTTCAGAAAAAGATTATGTATGGACAAATTTAATGATATTTGGAACGTATTTATTGAAACCATAGTGACTCATGAACTGACATTTACTTGACGGAAATAGTAAGTTTATCTACTTACATATATACTATGTAGTTTT